TAGGCTCAAAACCAACCTGAGGTGTAACAGTACAACAATTTGAGGATCTCGAACGGGAATTCGTCGTGCATATAGTAAATGAAGCGTGAACTGAAAACCTAGGAAGCATTGGACAGCTGTTTCGGCGAATTCTCATTCGAAATTTAATCAGATCCTCCATTACTCACATGAAGTTTGAGGATCGGCACATACCGGTGATTCAGTAAGACGAAAACACAATGCTGAGTAGAATTTTCCGCTGCGGTTCAGCCACGTTTTCACCCGATGAAACTGTAAGGAGAAACCGTGTTCATTGCAAATTTTATCCGTGATTACGGTTTTATTTTGAACGGTATTTTATTGAGTTCATCAATGTGATCTAATTAGTGAATGGTCGCTTTTCCTTTGTTTCACTTGAATAGACTACCTTCAAAGAACCACAACAGCTGACAGAACAAGACAATAAGATCAAAGAGAGTGATCAATGGATTCAAGCAGCCGAGGATTTGGAGGCCCGAACATCATCGGTAGATAGGCAATCATCCTCTACATCCGATCATTTCATGGTTGACGAAGAGATTCTACAGGGTCGTGTGTCCATGTCTGCATACATCAGCTATCTATGTGATAGAGGTTGGCTTTTATCGTTGCTCAGTATCTTATCTTATGCGGCTTTTCTTGGTGTACAAGTAAGTTTTCTGTTGAGTTTGTTCACTCTTTCCTCATATGCTACCAACATATATTTTTATATTAAGGTCAGAAAACCCAATTTTCCCTCCAGTTTATTTCAAAAAGCAAAAAAGATGATTGTACGGTGATTATGATTCACAAGATTCCGGGTCGGAATGCCTAAAGTAGACTGGCTATCATGGCAATTAGGTGTGAAGAGAAAATCCAGGAAGCAATGCGCAACTGCTTTTACCTGACTGGGTCTCATCATCGGTGCGAATTAGTCGACCCANAGTGCTTCCTAGCTCTTCATTTCACTTCGAATTTGTCCGATTCGCCGATTCACTGTAAAGAGGCCTATTCAAACGGGTGAAAACTATTACTCACTTAATCATGCTTAACAGGATCCAGACATTCCTTTGTGAGAGGCTGTCTGATTTCAGTCTCGGAATTCTCACATGTTTTTATTTGAAATGGCGGTGCGTATGGATATACCATGGCTGTAACGGTATTGTTTGAAGCAATGACATTCCTGTCCTTTAGCTCAAGATCCAGCACTAAAAACACGAGTCCCTTAGTTTTGATCGTCTTTTGTGTGGTCTATAATCGTTCCGTGTGGAACACTTTGGCTATTTTCTCATATTTGCTTTCAAAAGATGTATCTGTTGCCTCAGTTTTGTTAGCAATACACGTGCCATAGTCTATAGCTAAGTCGGGGTACGAAATAAGAAACTGAAGGTACTCCGAGAGTTGCAAACAGTCCCTTTCCAGAGTAACGGGCGGTGGTGGCATAGTGGTACCGTCACCAAATTACCACCTCGTGTGTTGGAATCCCTCTATCACCGACTGATTCCCCCCATTGTGTGTGTGTATGGTTACCTTGAGATTGGTCACTTCTCCCTCTCTGAAAATTGTATCACTGTATGTTCAATGAAAGGAAGAAAAAATAAAAACGAAAAAACGATACTTTGAGTGGCTAGATTAGCTATAACACTACTTCTTCAAGGGATCGCTGTGTACTTCTAATTAAAGTTATGTTTAAAATCTAAATTCCCAAGTCCACTGCCTCCTAGCTTAGTTTGTGTTTCTTCTGCGCGTCTGAAAGTAATTAAAGCATGATAAAATATTTACAAATAGTAAAGCAAATGATTTGGAATGAAGAAAAGTATGCCGTTTAATTTGCTGGCGTAAGCCCTGTTATCACCTTGAAGTTGTAAAATCGACAACCATGACTGTTAAACGAACAAACCGCATCATAATGTGTGTGACTCTCACGTGTACTCACGAAGGCCTCAATGTTTGCCATTTCGTTAATTTAGACAATTTATCGCCTGAGTCCATTTTCAGCATTCTTCGTGATTCCCCTCGTTTGTGCCGATAACTTTACGCACATGTGTGTGGCTTAAACAGGTTATCTAATATTTATTTGTTCTCTAGGCCTTTGGGAATTATTGGATACAATGGTTTGCAGATGATAGAGATTTGGCGGCGCTAGAGAAGCAAGTGAACAACGATACCATCTGGAGCAATGAGACCGAACGAGACAGAATCATAAGTGAAGTTGGTAAACAAACACTACATTATCTCCGTGGCTATTCGTGGATTGGTCTGGCTCAGCTGTGTGCCATGCTTTGTTTTTCGATTTGTCATGCGACCTCATGGATTCGAGCGTCGAAAGTGAGTATTTTCCTGAGTCATCGTTCTTTATCTTCTCACCCGATTTGCGAAGGTTTTGAGCATGTGATGCAACAGAGAGGTGAACCTCGAATGCAGTATCACAGTAAACATTGAAGGCTAGTATGCTGCTTCTCCTTGTCTGGTAGTAGTTGCAATGTTTTTCGTCTAATTAGGAATACGGGTCCTAGGAAAATAAGCGTAAGAGAGGTAATTAAGGAATGCAATGGCACACTGATTCACGATCAGCAACGCCGTCTTGATCGATGGGCTGAACAATTCGAGTATCAGTTTAACTGGCTCCCATCGACATCTGACCTAACAACCCCCCCTCCCCCCACCTCGTCTGGGCAAATATTCCCAGTTGATACCAGTCATCCATCTGAAATGGAGGTTTCCCGGGAAATAAGCTACCTCAATATGGCACAAGGCCTCCGGCCCCGACGGGTTGTCCTCATCGGTTTTCAAGGATGGAAGATCGGTCTTGGTTTTGGAGTTAACAAAACTCAATGTAGGAGAGGAAGGAAGTTCCAAATGAATGATGTAAATCGATCATCATACCGATTTACAACAAAGATGTCAAGTCCTCTTGTGAAAAACACAGAGGAATTAGTTTGACCAACATTGCTTCTGGACATCTCGCTGGCATCGCACTCCGTCGATTGTCTGCAGCACGTGAACGATACGAGCGTGAGAACCAGCCTGATTTTATACCTAGTGGAGGTTGTATCGACCACATCTCCATTCTTCGCCAAACTCTAGAACATCGGCATTCTCTTCGGAGACCCACGATCTGTTGTCCTCACATTGAAAGCGGCTTTTGACTCAGTCGACCGCTCTAACCTCTGGTACTGTCTTTCCCTGAATGTGTTCGAGTGGCTTATTGCAATATTACGATCCCTTTCTACTAATATCCGAAGTCCAGTACGAGCTTATGACACATTTTTGCCCGTGTTTACCACGCAAAATGGCGTTCTTCAGGGGTGCACTCTCTCTCCTTTTATATTTGATTTCGTTATAGGTTTGATTGTGCTACAGGGTCTATCCTCGTGCGAGGAGAGTGGCATCAATTTACTCCTAGATGATAGACTGTCTGATCTAGATTATGCAGACGACATTGTGTTGCTAAGTGAGATTCAGTTAAATTGCAGGCATCTATGGATGGAATGAACGCCAGCGTAGCCATATTCGGTATGCGTTTTGCACCTTCAAAGTGTAAAATGGTACTACAAGACTGGGTTGGTCCAGCATCCAGGCTCACTCTAACTGGGAAGTAATAGAGCAAATGAATATGTTTTGTTATTTGGGCAGCTGTACCTCATCCGGTGGACGCATCATGGATGAAGTGTCAGCTCGCATACAGATGGCTCAGGTAGCGGACGGAAGAAAGCCAAGGGTGGTCAAGCTAACACCTGGAATGAGGGTATGAAATCGCTAACCAGGGGACTGGCTCACATGGGTCCCGTTAGGCTCCCTGGATGGGGACCTCGTGATGATCATAACCGATGGTTAGAACTACTCAACGATATGGTGTTTGTGCAACTTGTTAATTTCCCTGCATACTCTCCATACTAATTTTCAAAAAGTGATTAGCTGAAGTTCAACAGAAACATAATACAACAAACAACCATGGGTCTGGCTGGCATTGCATTTTGCGCTTAGATATTGTCATGAACAAAATGGTATACGCATTCATTAGGTTTCCTTGTCCGTTACTATTTCTGTAGTTGCTGATCGGTTTTCTCTCCATTCCGTCCACAATAGCTGTATTCACATAGGAGTAAAATTTGTAGCAATGTCCTCACTGAATGTTGCCTAATAATTTGATCAGTAAAACGGTTTCTAGAATTAAACAATGTTGCTAGAAAAGAACACAGAACAAAATAGTTAGCTAAGAAGGATCTCAACTAAATGACCGTTGTACGTCAGCTGCCATACTGTCTGGCCTCTAAAGATATCTAAAATCAGGCTACCAGGAAACCATAAGACTGTTGTTGTATTGTACCATACGTTGTACAGAGTTCTGCTCGTTTGACATCTTGAGGGGACGGGTTTTACACGATAATTATTGTTTTTAACTATGATCTGCAACGTTTCCAGCGTTGATAATGCTGTACCACGAGTGACGCATATGCACAGTAGCTTAAAATGCGAGAGTCTGTGATGCTTAAATCAGTAACGATTAAAGTGCCGCAAATAAAAAACATGAAATATGATACACTATCAAACAAAGTTGGAAAGTAGCTATGCCAGGGAAGCCTGAGACATAGAAGTAGGAAGTTCCCATATCAACGGAAGCCAATTTTGGTATCATCTATTCGTTTCGTTTCTTTCTTTCTGAACTCAAACGGCCAGGAAATATATTAAAACTGATACATACAATTGTTATTTGTGTATCGAGGCTATCGAACTTTAGCTTAGATTTGGAATGTGTTTGTTTCTTGTCCCTCAAAGCCTGGGAGTTTATATGCATTGAAACGTACAGTGTGGCATCACCTGATCAGACTTTGGACTGGTTTTATCCATCATCTCATTTCTACCATAGTAACATATTGGTCCATTTATTTAAATAGCTGGATTCATTCATATACGCCAGGCTTAGCACCTCTATCAGTGGCCAGTTATTGAATAAGCTTCCGGCCACTGAAAATGGCATCAAATCAAACAGTATAGAAACTAAATCAAATTGTAGTCCTAGGATTTAGCGTTGATGGTTACCACGTCACGCGGGACTCACGTGATTCAGTAAGTATTCCTACAGATATGTTCACGGGACCGCTTGGTACACGCGTTTTTTCAAAATTCGTACCTGTGGCACCATCTTCGTTTTCAAAGGATTCTCTTCTTGTTGTTTCAGTAAGCCACTGATATTGGCTGACTGTTTTCGTGCAGAAGAAGCAGTTTTTTTGTATTGTGTGTCAACTTCAAAAAATGATTTTTGCCTAATACTAACCCTACACCGGTTTTTAATCTAGATATTCGTTTTACACTGAACCAAACTAAATTGAAATCATTCCAACTTCTCTTCTGAAGGTGATGCATCACAAACTATTGAAACGGATGTTACATGCCCCAGCCGCACTATTTGATCGTACACCCCTTGGTCGTATCCTGAATCGATTTAGCAATGACATTGAGAATGTCGATCGTAGTGTTCCGGATGCATTATCTGAGATCATCTCCTGTGTCGGTGACTTGAGTCTTTGCATGATCGTGGTACTCATCTCGTTAAAACCGCCGGGAATGGGATTGGTCATCATTATCCCGCTGATGATCATCTGCGGTATTATCCAGTCCCTGTACGTTCCTTGTAGTCGCCAGGTGCGGCGTCTCGATGCAGTAACTCGGTCACCGTTGTTGGCTAATTTCGGAGAGACAGCTGCTTCCACTTTAGGTTGCAGTGTGATGCGAGCTTTCGGACGCACGGCTGCATTTGTGGAGCATGCGGATGAACTCATCGATCGTAATGCAGTTTACGGTTACTTGGGTTTCGCTAGTGGCCGTTGGTTGGATGTGACCTTGGTTGTGAGTTAGTACGATTTGTGCTTTATCACTGTTTGCAATGTACCCCTTCTCATGCCACATCTACTGTACAAGATGACAAAATTTAACTTTCTCCACAGTTTAACAACTTCTTTTGAGAACTTATGACGTTGTAGGAATATGGAGGCAGTTCTTATGAGTAATTAATGAGCAAGTAATACTCAGCACAATCAGATTTGAGAATACTTTGTGTGTAGTGAAAGAAACAAAACACACCAAGAACTTTTTCGTCTGTACCTGAATCACAATTAGTTATTAATCAAACTGGTATCCAGATGACAGTAACCAAGATCCCCGCGCAAGGACAGTAGATGACAACTGGCATCATAGTTTAGGATTAGCAAACTTGTGAGTGAATGACTGAAGCGCGATGGATGGGGTTGAGTGTAAATAAATGGTTATAGGGTTTATACGCTTATTTGTCGCACAGCGTATTCATTGCATCCGTTATATTTTTCAAGTGCCTTGGTCTTACGTAGTCGACATTGCCTTTACAATGTAGTTATGATATTATACCTAACTGCTAATCCGCTTAAATCCTATCCCATCAGCTTACACTCGTTTCTTTTCTCCGATGCTCACAGCTGTCTAATCAC